AGGAGTGTTGACTATTATTTTAAAGTAACGATATATTGCTGAATATGAATTTATCTGCCTACATTACTAAACGCTCCCGTTGCCTATGTAGTTGCTCACGGAGAGCAGCACTTACCAACTTTTATTTATTTTTCCACAGCACTAAGTTTGCAATTGCGAGGCCCTCCGGGCCTAAAATATAAATTTTTTTATTTATTTATCATACAGGATGACCTCAAAACATTACAACTCTTATAACCGAGTGTGTTCCTGTGTCAACACTGGTTATGTCCCCCAGTACGTGTTAGGAAGCGAAGGCGGAACAGGATAGCTGATAATAATTTACTGTCAGTTTACTAGTACATCAACTGTGTTTCCGTGTGTCCAGCAGCTTGCCTTCTGTGGTCGGTTTCGTCTCGGGTCATCGACAGGGTCTCCAACAACAGAGTCCCCTTCTGCTCGCAGCCTACCCATTTCTGGCCGCTCGTACCGAAGAGGAGGTGGGGGTTTATAATTCGACGCTCGAACCCACGACCTACCCGATAGAATTGTAACGCCTTAAGTCACTGCACCATGGACTCGTTGTCTTAACTGTTGACTACGGCTGGCGGAGTATGTCTAATAAACCAGAAATAGTCATTCGAGTCTCAGTCGATGAGCGCACATCTAATATCTGCTCACTCCATTCAGTTGCGTCGGGGAAGTCGCGAGGAATATCGTAACAGGGAACACTAGCATATCCACACTTCTAACTAACCCAAATGAAGAGGCTTTGACTTAAACACTGCTGCCTTAGAGCGCAGAAAATGCAAGAACCACATTACACTGCCAAGCGAAATTTAATAATTTAAATTTGCACACGGAAGTGTGCGAGTAACAAAGATACTTGGATAACGGAGGGACCATATCTGCCTTCCCTCCAGCCAAGAGGTTCTGGGAGAGCGAGGGATCGGAAACACTGGCATTTACCTTTAGTTTAACTCAGTAAATAAATAATTATTTCGCAACATCACTGCGTTACAGCGCACGTAATACATGAACAAACTTTGATTCGAATATGAGTCAAGTACGTAAACTTGAGATTCCGTAAGGTAAGGCTTATGCACAAACGTGTATAATTTACAGGCTATATTGCATAGCCTACAATTAAGGGTCTCAAATGATTGTATTTGTCGAGACTCGGTGTCGCATAAAGAAAAACGGCGCTCTCTGGCTTAAAATAATAGTTCCAAATTCCCAAGTATTTTCGATATGCAAATGGTGACGTGTGTGTACCATTCTTTTAGAAGCATATAAACAGTTTTTCCTTGTCGATCGTCTTACGTTTGCTTAGTATACCGCATCAATTCGTGAGAACTTTGGGCACGATGCGCTTCGGAC